GAGATGGAAGCAGCTCATGATCGAAGAAGATGTCAGAAATGGAGCTTTTTCAAAATCTGGTCCATATCGAGCAGAACACCCGTAAAATATGCTCGATGTAAGCAGCATGACATGAGGAAGAGGATCAGCACGAGGAGTCTAAGCTGTTGGTCTGTATCAAGGTCCAGCATCGAGCAAGGAAGCCGATGCGCGCTGCACGAGCCATATCGAGGTCGCATATCAACCTGAACACCATCTGTACCACCTCGATGCAATTCATCCGCGCATTGACCATTTGACTTTTATTGACCTTATCTTATTTTTAGGTTTTTTATGCTTCTTTTGGTTCCCTACTATAAAAGGGAAGCCACCAAACATTATCTTTATCCAAGTTTAGTCTTTCATCAAAAACTCTCTCTTCTATAAATCTTAAAGGGCGATTTTCCTTAGAATCTTAATCTTTAATAAAGTTTGCATTTTTATGGTTTAATCTTGCTCTTGATCATTGTTCAAGCACCTTGGTAGTCTAGATTTATCATCTTTGCATTTTAATCTCATCTAGTCATGTTTAACTCTAAACAAATGAGATTAAACATGATTAGTGAGTAGTCTACCTTAGATTTAGGGTTCTAAGTAGGGAAAGTGGTGATTAAAATGTAATTAAAGGGTGATTAGGCTTATTTAACTGTTCTCTGTTGTCTCCTTCTCTTGCAAAGAAATTATTGATCATAAAGCTTGCTCTTTTTGATTGAATATGGTATTGATTGATGCATATGGTTCACTAAATGGCTTGTTATCTCATCTCTAAGCATGGATCGCTTATTTGGCTTGATAGTTTGGTTTGGTCTATGTTTCCTTTGTTCAGTGACACCAGAGTGATAGTTCACCATTGCTAGATTATTCTCTTAGGGCTAGATAATGCTGGTTTTGAAATTCTTGCTTGATGGTTAGATAGTATGCATTGAAAGATCTTGCCTTTGTTTCATTCTTGCTCATTGCTTAGCATTGTTAGGATGTTGCAGCTGTGTGTTTAAGTCCATGTTCTTGATTGGTGTTTAGCTAACTAGGTCCTTATTGGTTCACAGGATTGATAAGTTGATCTGAATTCTTGCTTGGGTGAGAGATTGGTTGCTTGATTAGTACATCTCTTAGGGTAGAATGGTTGTGATCTTTATGCTCATGGTTGAAGAATACACCATCACAAGTGGGTTTGACACTTCAATCTTGTTGAATATGAACTGCTTATTGACACCAAGTTGGTTCCTTTTAGATACCTTGTATAGGAGTACAATATTGAGAATTGCTTGCTTATGAATGCTAGATGCTTGCCTTTGTTAGAAATCCCTATTTTCACTCTTGAAAACCACTATACCACAATTGCTTAGAACCTTGAATCTTGCTTTTAATCAACTGTCTTTGAGATCATTCTGCTTAGTTCTTGCTTTAGTTATCATTCCTGCTTAATTCCTGCTTAGTTGTTGCTTTAAGTTCCTTGCTTAGTTCTGTTTACTTGCATTTAGTTTCTGTTTTATTTCCATTTCATTGTTAGATTGTTAGACTTGTCTTTGTTCAATCAAAACACCATCATTGCTTAGCTTATGGCATTGTTTGCATCTCTTCTTCCACAAATGAATTGATACCAGAACCCTATTCTACAATTGATTAGAGGCTAAAGATATTTGGTTCAGGACCGAAAACCTCTTGTTTCAGAGGTGGATGTTTCGCCTTCGAAGTTAGCGAATATGGATGCGCGGTGGAGCGCGTCATCAAGTGAGTCTGTAGGTTGATGCATGAGTTCTTCTTTGAACTTCGACTTGTACCATAAGTTGGTTTTGAGGGCGAGCAAGGCTACTGCTTCGTTAGGATTTGCGATTTTTGCTTTGATTGCATTAAATTTGGCGAGGTATGACTGAAGTGGTTAATCTGGGGCTTGGATTAGTTTTCAGAGGTCGGCTTTGGATTCTCGATTTTCGATAAAGATCAAGTATAGTTTGAGGAAAGCTACAGCAAGCTAGTTGAAATTTCCAATTGAATTTTCTTCCAGTGCGCAAACCATTCATGGGCTGGTCCGACTAAGTTTTCGGCAAAGAACTTGCAGTACCCTGTTTCTTTTTCTTCTGTTGAAAAATTAGCTCGAATAGCTGCAAGGTTGAAGAGTCGGATATGAGTTTTTAGGTTTCTGTTTCCAGCGTACTCTGGGACTCGTACTTTAGAAGTGTCTCAGAGGTAAGTGTTGATGATCTGGTAAGTGAATGTAGTTAGTTAGGTCCCGTGGATCACACGATCGATGTCCGAAGCAAAGCTCGTGGCTTGATGGAACATGGAGTTCATCTGCCGAAAGGTGAAATTGGTCTAATCCTGGAATCTTTCGAAGGATTTGCAGTCGACCAGGTTTCTTAAATCGACGCAGGGCTGGTAAGCCCGAGTCTGATCATTTGGAGCGTGGGTCCCATGCTGTTGGTGAACGAACACAGTGAGTTGTTCACAGGGTTGCATTAGGAGGTCTCGAGTTCGAGGCCATGTTTGGTTGTTAGCCGAACTGGTGAGGTGTCCGCGAGCTCGAAACTAAAGCCGAGGATCCAAACCATGTCGAACGAGGTGGCTCGGTCGCAGGTGCTCTCAGAGGCGAAGATGGATATCTCGTGTTGGGATGAGGTCCCATTTCAGGTATTCCTGATGCTCATGTAGGTGGAGATGGATACTTCATCGAAGGGCTAGGTCCCATCTTTGGTATTCCTGGAGTCGGAATTTCCATGGTGATTGGTGTCTGATTTGCCACGGGGGCAAACTTTTGTTGATCTGGAGCATGTGATGATGTCGCAAACTGTCCGGGTGGATTGCCCAGAGCAGAAATCAGCAAAAAGTCGAGTTGAGTTCGTGGAGGTGGACTCGCAGTGGATCTAGCTGCGGCTTGACGCCTTTCTTGTCTTTCTAGTCTGATCTTCTGATCTCTTTGTCGATCGATCAGGAGTGTGAGCATTCGGAGTATCTCCGCGGACTCTGTTGCGCTTCTATAGGCTATAGATGGTGGCGGAGAGGTAGGAGCTGCTCAGTTCTGAGGTGATGAAGCGGCAGGGGGATTCTCATATCGTACCCAGGTTCGAGAGGCGGGGATCTCGGTCATTAGTAAGTTATTACTCGTCGTTCCTGGTGGGGTGACGAGGTTGATCACGATCGGATCTACACAGCTTGAAACGTTGAAGTTTGTGCCGGTGGTGTCGACCAGGGTCGTGACCCTGTGATCATTTCTGCCGGCTGTCTGGTTGACGTTGCCGGTCGGAGTGATTTGATCTGGAGAGATTGGAGTCTGGGAAGTGTTTCCAGAAGGTTGTTGAGTTGAATCCATTTCGGTTTCAGCTGGCTTAGGATCTGCTCTTGAGTAAGAGAAATTTATTGATCTTTTCCCACAGATGGCACCAAAATGTGTATGCAGAAATTCACACTAAGAGATTTATGTGTTTTTGTATTAAAAAGATTTTAGAAGAATTAATGGTTAGATTCTCTGGAACAGATTGGCAGTATAAGCAAGTATTAACTAAAATAAGGACTTGATATTAGTTGGGTGAATAAAAAGGTTACAAATTTTTTCTGAAAGAGATGAAGTGAAAAGAGCTCGAACAGCGATTACAGAGTTTTCAAGTATCGGAAAGTGTAAAAGAGATCCCTCTTAAACTAAGCAGCTTGCCTCCTTTATATAGTTTGCCTCGTAGAGCTTCAACCTCCAACGCGTATTTCGGCTACGTGTAACAACCTCTCCTAGAAATCTCGGACTCATTTGAACTGATGGGAATATGCTCCGACTTGGTCTAGATCATTTCTTGTTTCTCGGTATTTTATCGAGCTGCAGCTCGATCTCGTCGAATGAAACATTTGATGTTCAGGCTTGGACCGTTGCGAAGAATTGAGCTATACGAAAACTAGTCAATTTGTGCTTAGTTTTAGGACTTGTTTGCTGGTCTTGAGTGGACCGGATTTACTATACGAAATCCAGCTCCAACAAAAAGGGTGAAGAGGAAGAGATTAAAAAATAAAGGGTGCAAATGAATGTATGTTAGAGTAATAAAAGGAATAATGATGAGAGGAAAAAAATGAGTTGAATAATTTTATATTCAACTAGAATTTTTGGAATGTGTTACTCTCCTATTTTATAGAGTACAAATTCTAAAGGAATAATACTTATTTTTCTCCAATTTAGTGGAGCCCAGTTTAATTTAGAGGAACATTCATTATTCTTAGGGTGCAAATAGTTAACACTTTAGAGGAACAAAATTGAGAAGAATTGTATATTCATTTGGATTTCTCTAAAATACTACCATTTAAGAGTAGTAAATGTTCCTCTAAATTAAACTGAATCCCACTAAATTGGAGGAAAATAAGCTGTGTTCCTCTAGAATTTGTACTTTAGATAGTAACGGTTATAAATAAAAGGAATAAGTTGAATGAGAGGAATAATAATGAGTTGAATAAAATTGAAGAGAATAATGTTACTTAGCTGAATAAAATATTTCCTCTCGTACTCTCCTTTTTTTTGGAGTAACAAATTTGAGAGGAATCAGTCATTTTTCCTCTAATTATGTGGGGCCCAGGAAATTTTAGCAGAATACATATTCATCTTAAATGGTTAATTTTCAGAAGAATTTAGAGGAATGAATCATTCAACTCAATTTTTTTCCTCTAACTTGTCAACTATTTGGATCCTATGAAAGTAACACAGTTGAAAAATTCTAGTTGAACATAAAATTATTCAATTCATTTTTTTCCACTCATCATTATTCCTTTTATTACTCTAACATACAATCATTTGCATCCTTAAATAATAGAATTTTAGAGAAATCTAAAAAAATATACAATTTTTCTCAATTTTGTTCCTGTAAACTGTTAATCATTTGCACCCAAAAATTATCCCGTTTTTGTTGAACTGGGTTCGAACTCGCGTACTCTCCTCTTAACTAAAAAATACCAAACTTGTCCTCAGCCTACCATACTTTAATGCCGTGCAATCTATAGTTGAACACTTAAGACGCATTTATTGACACGTAGCCAGTTAGATATCTCCACGTAACCACTCTCTCGACTCTAGCAAGTGGATAAAGAACCTTTTGTTTTGATCATCGACCGCTCTGAAAAATCAATTTGTGATTCTTCATCAAAATTTGAGGGTTTCCTTAGGATTCTCTGATTATTCAAATCCCAGTCTGAAATCTTCGATTCTCATGGAGGCTGAGTTGCTCGATTGGGAGTTGGTTCATGGCTCCGACTCCGAATCATCTGATTCAATCATTTCATCGAACAAGAAATCAGGGAGTTCAAGTGTAATCGATGACGGTATAATTCTCTTTGATCATTTCTCTGCCACTAATATCATAAATTTACATGGTGCGACCACTGATCGGAGCCTGGAATCGGGTGATTCTTCCCGGGTCGATAACGGGTCGGAGTCTCCGAACCAGAGGCACAATACGGTAGAGGTTCTGGGTGATCTGGGTTTCGATCAATTAGATTTACATGATTCCAAAATTGGAATATCTGGTGATGGTGAGGTTAAGGTGAGTGATTTTGAAGCTGCCGATGAGAAGCTCGTCGAGAGCGAGGCTGTTTCTGAACCAACTGGTGGAACCGTCGTATCTGACTGTGAAGATGTGCGTTTGTTTGAATCAGACGATGTGGAAGTTGCTGATGGAAGGAACGTTGAGAGCCAATCTGATGTTGAAGAGCCTGTTGTGGATTCGAGCAAGCCTTGTTCTGATTCAGGGGAGGAAGAACTGGTTTCTGGAGATTCTGGGAATGTGAATGATCAAGGGGTGATTATTTGTGATAGTGTTGTATCTACTGAAGCAAGGCAATCTGATGTTGAAGAGCTTGTCGTGGATTCGAGCAAGCCTTGTTCTGATTCAGGGGAGGAAGAACTGGTTTCTGGAGATTCTGGGAATGTGAATGATCAAGAGGAGATTGTTTGTGATGGAGTTGTATCAACTGAAGCAGTTGAGGAAAGTGGAGGGAATACTGAAGAAGTTGTGGCTGTAGATTCTGCCGTGAGATCTTGTGATGAGAGTAAAAGCAGAGAGACTGTGTGGTGGAAGATGCCATTTGTGCTTGTCAAGTACTATTCGTTTAGGATTGGTCCTGTTTGGTCTGTGTCTTTGGCTGCAGCTGTGATGGGTTTTGTTCTCTTGGGACGCAGACTCTATAACATGAAAAAGAAAGCTCAAAGGTTCCATCTTAAAGTTACCATTGACGATAAGGTACTCTATATTGACATTGAAGTCTATTGATTGAAACTTTTCATTATCATTTTGCTTGAAATTGGTTATAGCTAGTCTAGATTGATTCGTTTAAGGAGCTATTTTTACTCTATTATGTTACGTTCATCCAAAGTAAACTTGGTCTGACTTCAGATGTATAATTTCACGTTTGGTTTTGTTTAATGATTTCACCGTCCTAACTTAACTCAGGGATAGATTTTGTAGCTAATATTCTTCTGGAATTTGATTTATTCCTTAGCACATTGTTCTTCTCTGCTTCTCTAATCAAGAGCAGAAAATGCTGAGAATTTTATATTTTTCTTAGCTCATACGAATGTTCTTCTTTCCTTTGGTGGAATTTATCTTGTATCATTATCACGTCTTGGGTTGTTTGTGATCTGTGCAGAAGGTGTCGCGAGTGATGAGTCAAGCAGCACGACTCAACGAAGTGTTCACAGAGGTAAGAAGGGTTCCTGTGATCCGCCCTGCTCTGCCTTCTCCTGGTGCATGGCCAGTTTTGAGCCTTAGATGAGAAGCCGATTACTACTACAATACATATACGCAGTGAAGAATCAATCAAGTAATGTCTTATAAATGTTATGTACCTATAAGAATAGAGATGATACATGTGTGTTTTATGACGTACATACGCATTAGTTTACCATCCTATGATATCGCTTTTGTGAGTCTTGTCTCTGCATATACAGTTGATTGCATCTCGTAAGCTATGTGGGTTTTGGTATGAATATCAAAAGGTTTTGAAAGCTTGAAAATTTTTAAACTTAGGCTCGAGAGCCTTCTTATTATCAGAATTCTTGATTTTGTTCTTTACTTGAACAAGAAACGTTGGGATGATACACAAAACAATTACATTTGGTGTAAAAAATGTTGAATCTTGGACTTGGAATCAATTCAAGACGTCTAAGCTAACAGTGGAGTATTCTGAGGACGGCCTCGTACGTATCTTGGAGACGGCTTTTATAATCAGTGCCCTCTGCTATTTACACACAACGAGACACGTCTTTGAACCCTTGCTTTCTTCTTCATCTCCTACCTTCAACTCTTGCTTCTCTTCTTCAAAAGATTGTGTTCGTGTCAATGCTCATTGTATTGCCCATATAGCAAGTGGTCTCATATAACACAGCGACTTATATTCATCATTCATGTTCCATGCTTCAGGTGTCTGAAACGAGCAACTGCTCAAAACACACAAAAAAGAAGTCTTGAGCTTATGTTTTTTTTTTAAATCTTAGTAATTTAAGAACTTATATCAAATACCTTGACAAAAATGGATAATTTTAGTTACGTTACTGATATGCCACGAAAGGTTTATGTTACAAGAAAAAAGAAGGTAAAGAGAAGTGATGTGGCTTCAACAAGTGTCTAAACCAGTTTAAATTGTGATTAACGGTTTAGAATCGGCTTAGGATTGTATTTGCGCTTCAGTATATAAGGAGTTTTTTTTTATGTTTTCACGGATTCATTCAGAAAATCGTGTGTGAATTGGTTTGTTCTCAGAGTTCTGTTTTGAGTTCCAGATTGACTCTGCAAGTGTAAGCGCGAGTTCCAGATTGGCTCTGCAAGGGTAAGCGCTTGGGGTTTATAATTTCTTTGTTTATATTAATAAATTAACACTATTTTTATTAAATTGGTGCGATCGTGAGCGTTATTTGCAAATTTGGAAGCAATGATGCCGAATCCAGTTCAAACGACGAGGAAATCTTAAAGTGACGAAGCGAGCCCTCCGGTAAAGCTGGATTGATTAGCGAAGTCGTTACAATCTGCAATTACTTCTCAAGTGAAGATGGAGGAGGCAACTCGTAGGCGATTGGAGGATTTGGAGGACAAATTTGAATCGATTATATCAGTGTTGGAACGTGGGGCAACGAACATCCAGAAACAATGAATGGAATCGATAAATCTATTCTGATAGCGCAAATGGAACAGGTAACCTTGCCGTAGTCTTAGACCTGATGAGATTAGGGCTCAGAATAGCCTAGAGAACAGCAGAAAGGGATTGTTGAGAAAAGTTGAATTGCCGACATTTGTTGGAGAAGATGCGTAGGGTTGGATCGCGCTGGCTGAATATTTTTTTCAGATCGGGGGATATGATGATATAGGGAAACTCGATCTGGTGTCTGTCAATTTAACATGAGATATTCTCGTTTGGTTCAACAATGAAATGCATAGGCGTCCGTTTGGATGTTGGAAAGAGTTCAAAGATCGTTTGATTGCTCGATTCTGTAAGGAAAAGTTACGGGATCCGAATCAACCTTTCTTTAGAGTAACACAAACGAGATCTGTGGCTGAATATATCCATCTTTAGAGGACCTTTCTACTCAAGCTTACAGATTAAATGATGCACAATTGGAGAGCATTTTCATGAATGGGCTTAAACCTGAAATGCAAGAGGTGGTGAACATGTGCAAGCCAGTAAATCTAGAAGAGATGATTTCATTGGTGTATCAGATGGAATCAAGTATATTGTATCGCATGGTATAAAAAAAAAGACAACAAACTCATAAACCAACTCAAAGTGGTGGGTTTTCAGCTAATAATTCTTAGTCAAGTCATCTTGCTAACAATGCCTGGAAGTTCAGAACAAATCAAGCAGCTACTAATCAGAATACAGCTCCACCTCCACGGATATGATTCCCTCCACCTCAAATCCGCTTAACACCGGATTGGAGCATAGGATGATCCGGAGGATTGAAGTTGTGAACACCGCTGACCGCTGTCTATGAACACCACACAATTGACAGTGTCCCTACTACCCACGAGACTGGTGGTGATCTGGTCGAGGAGAGAAGCTTTGTTGCTGTTGCCAAGTCTGCGTGTTCCGGTTGGCAGATCGATTATTGTTGCCATGGCGAGAGTGATTTCTATTGTTGTTGTTGTTGTTGACTTGTCTATTGCCATTGTAGGTGACTGCGTTTGCTGAGATCGGGAGTGATGAAGGAACAACAACAGTTTTGGAGCTTAACCTCGTGGTTAAGGAGGCGCTCATGGATCTCGGTGAGAGATGGAGGAGTATCACGACCCTCAATCTGATCGATGAGAGGTATGTATTCTTCTGGAAAACCTTCAAGAATGAATTCAATTTGGTCTTCGGAATCAAGTGGTTTTCTTAGAAGAGCAATCTGATCAAACTGAGTTGTTAAACCTTGGAAATAATCATCGATTGATCTTGTGTCTTTCTTCCAGTGTTTGAGTTGATGCTTCAACTGTTTGAAGTGAGCTCGACTCAGCTTTGCATACGTGGAGGACAATGTTGTCCAGATCTCAAATGCGGGTGATGAAGTGGAGAGAAGTGGCTGGAGAGAGGTTGAGATAGTGCCAAGGAGGGTAGAGTAAATGAGCTGATCTTGTTGCTTCCACAAAACGTAGGCTGGATTGGAAGAGATCGTACCATTGATAGTGAGTGTGGGTGGTGAGATTATCACTGACCCATCGATGTAGCATTCCAGATCATAGCCATCAAAGAGAGCATGAACCTAACGACTCCACATAATGAAGTTTGTGGAGCTAGTTTGGTGATATTCGTCATATTAACGCTGAGAAGGTGTGTGTTTCAGAGACGTTGATTGTTTCACTGTGTATCTGCAACGGCTTGTTGCTGCGGATACGATTGGTCGTTGGGATTAGCGACATTTGGATTTTGGTATGAGAGATTGGGGTTTGGTCTCCAATTGTTGTAACCTCCTCATAATGAAATCTTCGCCCTCTTGCGGCTGAGTGAGTTCACCCATGAAGTGTACCTCCTTTTGGTTCTGGACAAGTAGTTACTTGTCAAGCTTCTCGTTGAGCTCCTTTATTACCTTCCGGCTAGAGTTCGTTTCATCTTTGGAGCCTCGGTTGGATCGATCGTAGTCCTCGTTGTAAGACGAGTCACTCTGAGCCAAGTTTTCGAGAAGCTCAAGTCCTTCCTCCACGTATTTGGAAAGGAAGTTACCATTGGAAGCAGTATCAAGAAGCATACGGATCTTTGGTAGGACCCCTCAGTAAAGAGTGCTGAGTAGAGACTCTTGAAAATCCGTGATGAGGGCATTGCATGGTGTAGCCTTTGAACCGCTCACAAGCCTCTTCAAAGCTCTCATTTATCTTTTGAGTAAAGCCGCTTATCTCGTTTTGCAACCGAGCTGTCCGGCTAATGGAGAAGAACTTGGTGAGAAAAGCTTTCTTGCATTCTGCTAAAGAGGTAATAGATACTTGGGGCAGAGTCTTCTCCCATGTGTGAGCTTTATCTCCCAAAGAAAAGTGAAACAAGCGTAGTTTGAATCCGTTTTCCCTCACACCATTTATCTTTGTCATGGCACATACCCGATCAAACTGATCAAGACGGTCTTCGAAAAGTAAACAGAAGAAACAGTTGTTTTTTACCATGGGGATTAGCATGTTCTTGATCTCAAAATTGTTGTTTACCACAGGTGGTGGTCGGATGCCGTGATAGTTGATGATAGCAAGCTTGATCGAGGACCTGTAAACAAAGGATCAAGAGAATAAAAAAATTTGGCTATTGAAAGATTTTGTTTAGAAAGTGATAACGAATGTGTCTTTTTAAAATGAGATTTTTTGTTTGTAGCTATAGTAGGAAACCATATGATTTATCAGATAAGAACATTTTCACCACAGCCAATAGAACTTTTGTCATATTTTCTCATATATTCATGGATGTAGCTACTAGAACCTCTAAGATATGAATGAGACACGATATAGGGACTATATAGACAACTCACTCATAAACAGCCACTCCAACAAAATACACTTTTTGTCAATTAATTTCAGAAACATTAAGCTCCCTGCATTCAATTAACTCTTTGATTAATTAACAATATGTAAAATCTGAGACACAATACTATACTTATAGGAAATACTAATGGATGAAAATGATTAATATCAAAATTAGTTGGCAGCTACCGACTTTTTCTCTCTGCTATGATTCATTTTATAAATTTTTTATTGCCCTTGCCTTCTTAACCTTATTACTAATATTATTTTATTTTCTTTTTTCTTCAGATTTTGGCGATAACTATGATAGCATCGGTGTAACAAATAACATAGTTAATGACAATAATAACTTTGTTTTTTCTTCTTTAGTATGATAATTATATTAGCATAATTATTTTTCTTACATAATACAATTAACACAATAATTTGTTAACAAATGTTTCATATTTGATAAATGAGTTAACAGTATGATATATAATCTGGTTAACATGATAATAATTATTAGATAATGCGATTAACACGATAATTTTATATGGATAACTGTGGTTAATATATATTGTATATTGATATATGAGTTAATATGTGTAATATATAACTGGTTTAACATGTATATTTTACAATTTGTTAACTTGTTTAACATTTTAATTATGTAAAAACAATGTTAACTTGTGTGAACAATGTTTCCGGACATATATTATAGAAGTGTGAATAGTATTATCGGAGTAAGAAGTGAACAGTGTTGTTAGGATTGCATGTCCCCAACAGAATTGTCGGATGAATGGTATTTCTATAATTAAGTTAAATGAGAAAGAAATTTTTAGTTTAAAAAATGTTTCTCTCCCCTATATAACTAATTTTTAAAAAATTTATATATTCTACCTAATTATTTGGTCAACTAATGATTTTCAGTAAAAACACCATATTATTATATAACTATAATTGTAGATACAAAATGTATAATTTAATTGCTTTTAAACATTGTATTGAGAACTGATAAAATTATCATCAAATATCTTTTTTCTTTTTTTTGTGTCCTTTTGATTATTTTTGTTTTTTTAGTTCCACGTTATCAAGGTTTTCTTCTTCCTTTAATTTTAAATCATTCTTTAATTAATTTTTTTATTTAATTTTGTCTTTGGAGCAGAATTATTTTTCATAGTTTGGATCCTCGTATTCTTCTTTTTCCTCTTTTGGTAGCTTCAATGCAATGTTATCTTTTTTAATGTTTTCTTCATGTGAAATACTTTTTGTTACCAATAATTTCTGTATTAAAATAATAATTAAAATTTATTTATGAAATCAAATATTATATTTGTTATATTTTTATATTTATTATACCTTTTTATATTTATGAGATCCCCATGAATATTAGTTACTGTTAATCCAACTAAAGTAGATTTGGAATTAAATAATGTAACTTCCTAATCGAATTAGAATATTTGTTTAACAAGGTTTTTCTGATAGGAATGAAATAATTGCTTTATCGGATGATTCATTGTAATTGAGTAATATTGATAAGAAAAGTAGATGAATAATATACAGTCTTCCAATACATCTACTTTTTTTTTGCTTTATAGAAAAGTTACATGAAATGGATAATGAAAAGATGACACTTTGATTGGAAAATGATTATTTTGGTCAAATGTGACTAAAAACAAATTTTAAGACCAACTACTAATATATCTCTTTAATTTTGAATTGTTTGCCATGACGATTACAAAAACAACTCAAATCCATTTTACTAAAAGAAAGTAAGTAAAAATGGTTGGTTATATATAGAATTTTAAAGTGAAAAGTTACAATGATTGGAATAAAAACTTTTAAAATGTTAAATAATTACAATGATTCACAAAAGTTATAACTTTTCAATTATGTCTCTTTATTAAATATAATAAATCTATTCTTCACTGTTAAATATGAAAACAAAGATTATTAACAATTAGATTGATGTATTTTTTAACAATGAAAAAAAAAAATCACAATGATTTATAGAAGTTGCAATGTTTTAAGTATGTGTGTGCTTAGTAAATAAAACAAATATAATCTTAACTGTTCAATAATAATAAAAAATAATATTATCTCTAGATTAAATTTATATATTTTTAACTACAAAAAGATGATAACAGCAAACTTAACTTAACCATCAAATTTTCAAATCAACACAACTTCAACCGTTAGATTTTGTTTCCTATAATAAATTGATGACATCAGCGGTTTCAAAAAAAATATTTTTCTATTAATATATATTCTGAAAAATATATGTAGTTAATTACCAAATCAAATTCTTATACACTTATGATAATTTAGACTTCTATGCATGCAGATTATAATATAGATTAGGAAAGTTTTTAACTACTAAATTAATTGATAAGAAAATACAAAAAATATTAATTTTATTTTATAGATGGAAAATTAAAATTGAAAAGTTTAAGTAACAAATAGAGAAGAAAATTATGTTAAAAATCAAACTATAATATTCCTCAAATTTAAATGAAAATTTAATATCAAAAGAGTTAAAATAACAAAAAAACCAATACTGTAAAAATAAATTAACTTGATGTTTTAAAAAAATAAATTAACTTAAAAACTAATATAAAAACAAATTTAACAAAGAAAAAGCATTCATAAAAAAATAAACTTGATTTATATGCTACATATCTTGAAAATCAACAACAAAAAAACTTAATAAAAAATAAGTCCTAAGTATATCAAACATACAAAAACCAAATTTTATAAATTAAAATAAGATATAAAATTACTATCAAAAGATGTAAAGTATATAAAAAAAATTAAAACGAATTTAGTTTAAAAAAATTATGATTTCTACAGTATTGGTATCAGAAATAATAACTATCTAAAGTTGCAATAAGTTTACAAGAGTTTCTAAATCAAACATATTTTTAAATATACAATAATTAATATAATGAATATTTCTGATTTAAAATCCAACAAAGAAAAACACTACATAAATAGTTTTACATTCGAAATTTAACAAGTGGTAAAATCTAATTTCTATAGATAGTCACTAGTTATATCTGAACCAACATTAATAACATATGAGTAACATATTTTTTTATTTAAATAATAAAATATGACAGAGTTATGAATCAATATCAAATTGGTATATGTAGATAAAATATTCAAATCAAAGCATGCAGAATGCATAAAAAAAAAATAGTGAAAAATGATGCGAAGACTCCACACCACCAATCATATAAATTTAAAACCTAAAATTATTAAATATTAGACTGCAAAAGAAAAAAATAGATCTGAATGAAAACTGAATAAATATAAATCGTAAGCTTAAACTCGTGGAAGACCTTGTAGAGAAGGAAGAAACGGTTTTGCATGATCACTGTAACTTCCTAAGAAAACTAAATGCAAATCAACATAAATCATGGATTATATATGCATATGTACACAACATCAATAAAACATTTAATAAAAAACTAAATATTTGAACATATAAACTTTGAATAAAAAAGAACAATAGAAATTTTATGGAAAACAAAACAAAATACCAAGATCTTAGCAAAGAAATCCTTCTCAAAAAGGAAATGTGGCCCAAATACAAAAAAAATGCTTTTAGGAAAAAAATGCTTTCATATGTAATAAACTCGCAGGATCCGGGATTTAAAATTTCTAACAGTGCAAAATAAAGCTCTCTCTTCTCTCTCTCTCGTATCTTTCAGAGAGAGAGCGATTTTTTTTGTTTTCCGTTTGATCATATAATAATTTCCGGCTAAGCCCGGATTTTATTATGTTGATATTTCTTCCATCAATCGGACTTTTGTTTTGTTAGTTTCCTTTTGCATGCTTTTAAGAACTTCTTTTTGGAAGTTGTGAATTCTGGTCGATGTTGTAAAATCCTCTCTTTTGTCAGATCAAACTTGATTTGATTATTTCTAGAGAAATATTTTTCTTATTTCAGTTATGTTATTGATTTAAATGGAGTTTCTCTAGTAAAGTATTTGAATTGAGAGTTAGGGAGGTTAATTGGTGGTTTGGAATCAGATTCTGTAGAGCTCGCGTTTTAATGGTGGTCCAGCGAAGTTCTGAATTCTCTCCTCCAAAGTTTTCCGATGTTTTAATTTCTGGCGGTGTAGGTATGGATCTTGCAATCTCTCCAGTGGTCAAATGCAAAAGGAAGGAGCAGAGGTCTTTGACAGTAGTTTTCTATCGATGAGGTTTCAGGCGGTGAAAGGCACTGTCAGTGGCCGCCGGTGATGAAAGATCGGTAGCTGCTATTGGCTCCGATTGGCGTTGATGCTGTAGAGGCTGTAGGAAGTTGGACAGTCTTCACAGCTTTTATTTTACCAATCATACTTTTACTACTTTTATTCATTTTAAAGTCTTCACAGTCAATTTCAGTTTTTAGTTTTTCTCCTTTCTTTTGTACTGTTTTTTAAAAGCCTCTCAAACGTGACTGTGAAAATTAAAAAAACTTTTTCTTTCCATTTTCCTATTCAAATAAAGTTTTTTTTTCTTTTCATAATAACTAAAATCTATATCTAAATTTATACTGATTTTATCACAATTTTTTTTAGATAGATTCATCATTACATTTTTTTCCTTCTTCTTTTAAAATTCATATCACCATATTTTACATCACTTTATTATTATGTTGTTTTTAGTATTATGAATTAGAAAGTATGGAAAATAGGAATAAACTACAGTTTTTAATTATTTTTACTTTTTTATAATAGATAAAATTATTACTTATTGATATTTTTTTTCTTTTTCATTGTTCCAAATAACTAATCAATTTTCAATTTTTTATTATGCATGTAAAAAAGTTTAATAAAAGATAAAAATTATTTTTTATATATTGATATTTATAACAAATTAAAAATATTACATTTATATTTTAAAAAAATAATTTTTTTACAGTCATAGTTTTACAGTTTTTGTTACCAATCATACATTAAAAAATATATAAAGTAACAATCACAGTTTTTACAGTCAAAACTTTTACAGCCAAAAGTCCACAGTCACAATCTTTACCAATCAAAGCCATTGTCATCTTTCTTTCAACACGTGTTCTCGGATTTATTTTTAGGTAACATGTTTCAGGACACGTGTAGTTAGTTAGCGTTTTGGTTCTGTTGGACTTTCATTTCTTTTTGCTTTGTAATGGATGTTTGAGATGTATTCCCTACTCTACCTAATGTGGGTTAATGAAATCAAATTGACGAAAAAAAAAAAAAAAAACTCGTAGGATCCGGTGACTCCAGAGACTTCCGGGCAATCTCATTTCTGGGCTATAAGGGCCCAATGATAGATATAGCCCATACCAATTTCCTTCCTGCGAGAGGAGGTGTCACCTTCCTATTGAATTTTGACGGGAATACAAAAGTGGAGAAAAGCAAATTGTAGGGGAAGATCAGTGGGAACTGAAGATCTGTGAGGTTATTCCGCTTGTGGTCTGTTTGTTGAATCCCTCGACCTGAAAGCTTCATCGATGGACTCTTCTTCGAATTTGGATCCACTTCCCGAAGATATCTCCGACGAAGAACCAATAGAAGCTCCGGCGTCAGTCTTCGCCGCTCGACCTGTTCGTCCTCCTTCCACGTGAGTCGTCATTTCTCTCGTAGATTTCATTTCTAGATTTCGAAACGAATGATACAGTGAACTGTGTAAAATTACATCGTGAATTGGGTTTTGTTTCAGGGGCTCTTCGGAGAAGTATTCGCCTGTAGAGTGGACAAGCTATTTTGACAAAGAAGACGATATATCAATCCCTGGCTCAGAGGATGTAAACGTTTAACGAATGCTCTCTCTTAAGTTTCGAGAACGTTTTAGTTTTTGGTTTCTCTGTTTCTGATGGAACATTTCATTTTCAGGTCTTTCACGTATATATGGCAGGAATAGAAGGTCCTGTTGTCTTTTGTCTCCATGGAGGAGGCTACTCTGGGTGAGCGCTCTTGATCTGCACTACTTCCTTTAGTGTTTTAAATCTATTAAAGATTGATTTTGTTCTAGTTTTGAAGCAAATAGTTGAAATGGAATCACGGATTAGTACTTTCATTTTGTTGTGGTTTCGGGTTTTGATTACTCGCTGAATGAGTATAACAGCTTCATCTGCTTTTGTCAGGCTCTCGTTTTCTATAGTGGCTAGTAAAATCAAGGAGAAAGCACGTGTGGTTGCGATGGACTTGAGAGGGCATGGTAAATCGGTTTCAGAGAATGAACTGGACTTATCTCTAGAGGTATATTCATCAGTAATTTTCTTATCAGTAATGCATTAGATGGTCTCTGAGGATTGAGACTGATGTGATAAGATGGACTTGCAGACAATGAGCAATGATGTTTTGGCTGTGATTAAGGAATTGTATGGAGACTCTCCTCCAGCTATTGTGCTAGTTGGTCACAGGTTTTTTTCTTCTTTCATTCTATTTTCATATCCATGTGTTGTTTTTGAGCTGTGTTAAAGTGTGAACCGCTGGTCAGTAGCGAGCACCTCAGTGTCTTCATATAATAAAGCTTAAGATAATGCGTATGTACATTTTTATCACTTAGTATAGAATAGTTCTCTGTAAACCATAATCACTTGTACCAGCTATAGTTTCAAATAATAAGGTAATATAAAATCTATGTAGATAGTCGTCCGTGTCTCTCTCTTTGTGTGTTTTATCTATCGGTAAAGCCTTCTCGTAGTTCTCAATCTATTTGGTACAATACTATGTCTACTGAACCTATTGTTATGACTTCAATTCTTTAGTATGGAACACTTATAGGCTCCCTTCGGTATATGATTGTAGTGATAGACGCATGCATAGACTTGTAGAATAAAAGTATTGTAATCTATTTTTTCATAGAATTGGTTTTTGTGTTATCAACATACAGCATGGGAGGTTCGGTCGCTGTGCAAGTTGCTGCAAACAAAGTATTGCCTAGCTTGGCTGGGCTTGTGGTTGTGGATGTTGTTGAGGTTTGCTTCCTTATTGGGAAAGTCCATATGTTTCTCACTCGGTCTGCACTCTTTGTGAGATGAATTGTGTAAAGTACTCTCATTGCAGGGTACTGCTATTGCCTCATTGATTCACATGCAAAAGATCCTTTCAAATAGAATGCAACATTTTCCCAGCATCCAAAAAGCAGTAAGCAGCTTTTAAACGTTTGTTGTATTAACAAAAAAGAAAAGAAACCTAGCAATTTTTATGCGCATTTCAGGGCATTAATAAATAGCTGCAAACAGCAAATGACTGTGTTGTAATAACATTTGTTGGATCTGCCATCTCTAAAGTAATGCATGATTTTGTGCAGATTGAATACAGCGTTAGAGGAGGGTCATTAAGAAACATTGATTCTGCTCGTGTCTCCATCCCAACAACTCTCAAATACGATGATTCAAAACAGTGGTGCGTATCTCTGTTGCTGATATCACCATTTTTGAGGTACTCTCTCATGTTTGCTTCCTAATGAGTGAAAAAATATGAACATTTGTCCAGCTTTGTTTACCGGACGCATCTAGTGGAAACAGAGCAATATTGGAAAGGCTGGTATGATCTTCATTACCGCTTGCTTTAGTTCAGTAAATCCTCTCTAAGCTCAACACATAAATTTTATTATAAGTAGTCTGCGGCATTTCACCAAAAATCATGTATCCATGAAACATAAGCCAAGGCTTTTAGGTAGCTGAGACGGTTGAATTACAACAATTGGTGTTGTGAATCCAAGTGCAAGCATATACATCTCTTGAATAGTTTATGATTTGAATAAATGTAAGTTTCCTTGCAGGTACGAAGGTCTCTCAGAGAAGTTTTTGTCATCTCCTGTTCCAAAACTCTTGCTATTAGCTGGAACTGATAGGTTGGACAGGTATATATATTCGTGTCCGCCCCTCTCAAACTCTGGTTTCTTCACTTTTGGTTCAGATCTAAAGCGTAATGTTATAACGATGTGTGATAATATTGGATTATAGGACCCTCACAATTGGTCAAATGCAAGGAAAGTTTCAGATGATTGTGGTCAAACACACCGGACATGCCATACAGGTAAACAAATGCGATTGCCTAATCTTTAAAGAGTGATTTTTGTTTCTTCTAATGTAGAGATGATGAATCTAAGTGGGTGTAAATGAATTGCAGGAAGATGTACCGGATGAGTTTGCGAATCTAGTTCTGAATTTCATATCACGTAACAGGATTGGGGCTCATGGTGTTGAGGTTTGTCTGTATTATGTTTTAACTCTCTCTCTGTTTGTGACTTTGGTATTGAAGTCTCATTATGATTATCCTATCATATTTTAACAGATACCAGGAATGTGGAAACCTTCACAGCCTAAGACTTGATTCAGCTATATCACCGGACATTGCCAAAGTCATCGTGTGGTTTTCACTTGTTTTGTTTCGCTTTTGTCAGCTCATGCATAACAGATTAACAACTTTAGCTTGTTCGATAGGAAGAAAAGAAAAATTAAGAAGAGTCAAAAAGATAAAATAAAATCACCTCTAGCATTTTCTAATTTTTATCTCTATTAAATCAATATGGAAGCTTATGGTCTAACTGGTACATGAGGATGGAACTCTTGACTTGAAGGTATATACAAGAATTATCAATTTTTTTGAAAGCCACTAGACGAAGAGATTTTTTAACACGTATGTACATCAGTATATATTAATAATGAGAATTTGATAGTTTAAAAACAATTATTTTCATATACTTTTATTTATTTATTTATTGAACATAGTAAAAATTAATAAATGCTAAAACAAATTTCTAAATTATAACAAAAAGAATTACAGAAAACTAAAATAATATATATTTATATGATCATTTCATTCAATTAATAATAATATCAACAGTTCTCTCTCTTCTCTTATTTTCTATTGATATTTATGAATTTGGATAATACTATTCCAATGTTTGCCCGGACTTGTGTATACTTTCCATTTATCGGATCTCTTTCTCGTTCATTGGATCTAATTTAATTTTATAGCCTTTTTGTAAATTAGATATTTATGCTCAGAATTTCATTAAGTGATTTCTATGTCGATGGATAATACTCTGTTCTTCATTATGTTTCTCCGTTTACTTGTAAGAATCTGTTTTAACCGATATCGCAGAGTGAAGTCTAAGATTGAAAGATATCATTTGAAGTTAATCTTTGATTGAATTTGAATCAGACTCAGTAGAGTTGGGGTTTTATCAAAACCGTTCGACGAAGTTCTGATTTTTAATCTATTGAAGATCCTTCGTTCTTTATCGTTCCATTCATCAAAGACTCAAAGTGATAATCGTCTATTTGAAATCTGAGAGATAAACGGAAAGAGCTAAAGATGGTTAAAATTGGAGCTTCAGTGTAAACGATGAAGTTGTTCTTCAGAGTTGCCGTCGGAGTTCGGTGCTGCCGGTGAAGACTACGAAAAGGCAAGCACGTATGTGGTGACTCATGTGCTTCAATCAATTTGCGCCACATAGTCCAGCTTCCCTCAGTCTATCAATACGTGTTTAGTAACGTGGTGTTGAGTTTTGTTTTTGGACTTTGGACTGGACTTCATGCCCATCTTTTTGCCTTTTTGGACTTTAATAATATAAATTGATGACCAAAAATAATATGTGTTAAATAGATAAAATTATCCATTTATTTTTGTTTTAATTATATACATTAACATATTATAAAATAATACTTATTTATATGTTATATTTTTATATATTAACAGAATAATGTTTATTTATATATTTTATTTTTATATATTAGATCACTTTATTATGAAGTAATATTTTTCTATAAATAAGTGACTTCATTCTTTATAAAATTATAAATTTAGAAAAAAAAAAAATAAAGATTTTATGTTCATCTTTCTCTTCGAAATTCATATCTCTTAAATTCTTCTTTGTTTTTCATATAAAGCATTAGTTTACACGTTACCAATACGAACGTCTCTTAATTTATATCCCAAAATTAGTTCTATATCCGAAAGGTAAGATTTATTTTACTTTAATTTATTTTAAAGTTTATTATTTACGGAAAAATTGGCTATGCCTTCTCTGTTTATATGTGATGCCAGGATGAAAGGCTCTGTCTCCTCCGAGCTGATCGTTATAGTAGACACTGCCTCCACAATCAAATAACTATATTGTTTATTTATTATGCCGGAATGGTAGGCTCTATCTCCTCTGGGCTGATTGTTATGGCAGGCTCTGCCTCCACAATAAAAAAAATGATCAGACTATGTTGCCTCAGATCATATTTATTTATTACGTGGGTGATTAATACCCCATCTTCGTTCATTTATTTATTATGCAATCGGCAAATTGCATGGTAGACACTTCCTCCTCATATTGCTTTTAATTATTGTCTTTTATTATGCTGTTACCATGCTCAAATTTTTATAAATAAAGTTTATTCGAATCAAATGAGTTAGTTTTTGTTATTCAGTAATAATGTCAAATTTGTCAAAGCTCAAGATCTCCGCCCTTGACTTGTGTTGAATTAATTATATGTCTTGGACGGTAGGTGCAAAGATTGCATCTAAAGAGAAATAATCTCTTGAGCATTATCGATATGTCGGAAACGATATTCGATGAAATAAGGCGGAAATCATGATTTTTTTATGCCACCATATCCATGATGGTTTAAATGATAAATCCATCACGAATAAAGATCCTGAAGATCTTGGAAAATAAGTGGTTGAATCCCGAAATGAGAGAATTCACCCAAAGCTCGGAGTTGATGTAAATCCTCCTGGTATCTTAATAATATAATGAACTCGTGATGAGAAACCATCAGTTTCGTCCAACTGAATTAACTCTATTCTTAGGAGAGAGTGTTGAGTAATCCACTTACAGCCAGTGTGATGGACGAATTCAACGAAAGAAAAGGATGATGGTTAGGACATTAAAAGACAAGGTGAAATCGCATGCTATAGATGTGGCATGGAAAGCCATTGGGTACGCACGTGTCGTACGCCAAAACACTTAGCTGATCTATATGTTGAATTACAAAAGATCTGAATAACATAACTTAATCTGGCTTTTAGTATATATGATTATAAAAAGTATATTATATGGTTTTGATATTAACCCTTTTTATAAATTGATATTTTTGGTTAATGCATTTCTTATGAGTATTGTGACCCAGAAAATGTCACAATTTGAGATTTGGGATGGAGATACTTTTCTAGCAGACAGTGCTACGACACATACAATACTTAAAGATAAAAAGTATTTCTCATGTCTCAAAATTAGTACCATAACTGGTATAGCAAAGATTATACTAGGCTCCGGAAGAGCGAGTTTTTCATTGCTAAGGGGTACAAAGTTTGTAGTGCAAGATGCATTATACTCCTCCGAGTCTCAATGGAACTTATTAAGTTTTCGAGATATCCGCAGAAATGGATATTATATTGAGACTATTAATAAGAATGACTTTGAATATCTTTGCATTACAACGGAGAGTAAACATCAGTTGAAAGAGTTACCAATGATGTCCTCCGGATTATATTGCACAAAGATAACCATGGCTGAATCACATGTTGCGGTAAACCAGAAGTTTACCATCACTTTCAGAGTGTGACATGAAAGGTTTGGCCACTCTGGTTCAGTCATGATGAGAAGAATTGTGCAAAATTTCAGTGGCCGCCCATTGAAAAACCAGAAAATTTTTCAATCGGGAGAGTTTTCATGTAAGGCATGTTCTCAAGGAAAACTCATACGTAGGCCCTCGCCAGCCAAAGTTAGGAATGAACCCCCTGTGTTCTTAGAGAGAATACATGGTGATATATGTGGGCCGATTAACCCACCGTGCGGGCCATTTAGATATTTCATGATATTGATTGACGCATCTAGTAGATGGTCACATGTGTGTCTTTTGACCACAAGGAATATGACTTTCACAAGATTCATTGCCAAAATAATCAGTTGAGAGCGCATTTCCATGATTATGCCATAAAGAAAGTCAGACTTGATAACGCTAATGAATTCACTTCAGCGGCCTTTAATGACTATTGTATGTCCTTGGGAATCGATGTTGAGCATCCGGTTCCGCATGTTCATACACAAAATGGCATGACTGAGTCATTGATTAAGCGGTTGAAATTGATTGCAAGGTCGTTAATCTTGAGAACAAAGCTTCCAATCAATGTGTGGGGACATGTTATATTGCATGCTGGGGCATTGGTCCAGGTAAGACCAAGTGCGTATAATGAATATTCCCCCATAAAGTTAGCATTTGGCTAGAAGCCAGATGTATCCCATCTTCGTGTGTTTGGGTGTGCGGTCTATGTCCCTATAGCGTCACCTCAAAGAACAAAAATGGGACCACAAAGAAGGTTGGAAATATATATTGGGTATTTGTCACCAAGTATAATTAGGTATCTTAAACGGAGAACTGGTGATATGTTCACGGCACGGTTTGCCGATTGCCACTTTGATGAAAGTGAATTCCCTGCGTTAGGGGGAAGATTGAGAGAATCACCAAATGATATCACATGCTGTACAAAAACTTTGGCTTATTTTGATCCTCCTACAAACCATCGTGGGGTGGAAGTTCAGAAAATTATACATATGCAAAGTTTGGCAAACCAGTTACCTGATGCGTTCACTAATACAAGAAGGGTGACGAAGTCCTATATCCCCGCTGCTAATGCTCCATCAAAGATAAATATTCCTGAAGAACATACTGATGTAAATAAAGCAAATGAACTGGTTCAGCTAAAGCGCGGAAGGCCAATAGGATCAAAAGACAAAATCCCCGAAAGAGAAAGAAATTGGAAGCAAAGGTTCTGAAGAACCAAATAAAGCCAAATGTCCTGAAGAAATTTGTGAAAAGGTTCCTGAAGACCAGATGAAGGTATATGTCCGGAAGAGATATCTGAACCAGTTCCTGAAAAACTAAGTAAAGAGATTTGTCCTGAAGACGAACCTGAGGCAGAAAAATATGAGATTTCCATCTCCTTTGCCCAAAGTGGAAAATTATGGGCTAGAAGTAAAATATAAGATATGATGGAATGTTCTCTTTTTCTGTTTCCAAAGAGATCGATCATGAAAATGATGATCAAGATCTAAGTTCCGTGTCAGAGTGCCAAAGAAGGCCTAACTTGGATAAATGGCAAGTGGCCATGAGGGATGAAATATTTTCTCTTAATAAACGAAACGCATCCGGACCGATAATTATTACACTTGAAGATGTAATGCCGGTCGGATACAAATACGTCTTTGTAAGAAAGAGAAATAAGAAAAATGAGGTCACAAGTTATAAATCTCTCCTTGTGGCACTAGGATTTTCTCAAAGACCGGGAATAGATTATGCAGAAACATATTCTCCGATCATGGATGCAATCACATTCAGGTATTTAATGAGCGTAACAGCCTCTAAGAATTTAGAGTTGTACCTAATGGATGTTGCGACTGCATTCCTATATGGTTCACTTGATAGTGACATATACATGAAAATCCCTGAAGGATTTAAGATCCCTGAAGGATCAAAGATTCCTAAAGCATCTAAAGAGCTATGTTCGGTCAAACTACAGCGATCACTTTATGGATTAATGCATTACAGACGCATGTGGTATAATCGCTTAAGTGAGTATTTGTTGAG